ACTTATCCTAGTTTTACTATATTAACTAGTACACAAGGATCATATGTAATCACGGCTTCTTTACTGCTCCTTGAGCTATCAAACTTCTCTGACTTACTAGCTGTCCGATAAATCGCGCTGGTTTTTTTTTTTTCCAGTCGACGAAAAAGTTTTGAGAATTTAACGGTTGACAGCACAGACATTTATTGTTCTAAAGTAGAAGTCTCCCTCTACAAACTAGTATACTTGGCCTTTCCAATGACCTTGCTTTTTTGAATTACAAGTGATTGAACATGTATTAGGAGGCTAAAGGTTAACTGACAGTCAATTTTTCTATATTGTATGGAACGCGGAGTTCACAATACCACCACCTAGCCTACAGTAAGATGCAATAGGTATACGATGCAAGTAAATTCTTGATTAGCCTGCAAAGTAGTCTATTTTAGTTAATTGACATACTGATTACGAGAAATATATATATATTCCCTATGGTAGATGTTGCACGAGAGACATGCAATTATTTGATTTTTTTTAGCACATTAGTGATTCGCGTTTCCATTTTAGACCCGCCCTGCTTCTAAAGCGAAGACTCATCGTACGATGTAATCAGAATGTCATTTTCCAATAGACCAATTTTAGAGTTCATGACTTTGACTAGTAGCAAAGAGCCTGTAGTGAATAGTGGATATAATTTTTGTAAACAGCATATCCGAAATAAAGTATCATTGTATTTCAAGCTTGTAAAAATTAAGCTGTTGGTTGGCCTTTTTTGGTCTTTTAATGCTTTGCCTAATTCAATTCTAAATTGGCAAATCCGGGATCGTTGGATAGGTCCACAATTTTTTGAAGAAAGACTTCTTTTTTCAAAAGATACACAATGTATTGTTGAAGTTCAAGGTTTTTAGAAAATTTGTGTTCGGAAAAAAACGATGCGAATTTGTGGGACAATGCAATAATTTCAATTTAAAGTCAAGCCTAACCTACATTATACAACTCTTGGAATACTCTCTGGTTCTTATAGGGGTTGCAAAGACTAAGATCTTTATACAAGAAAAGTTTGAGACTCCCTTACATACCGGCTTCCTTGACCATGTCAGGATAGTCCCAGTCACGAGATCCTGGCTTGCAGAACTTCGTCATTCCTACACCAATCACGAACACCTTTGGCTTGGTCATCTTCTGCAAACACACAGGACAAAAGTGTTATAGAAAATCGAACAATCAAAGTTCATGGCGTTGAGCGCTTACTCAATACACTTATCAAATGAGCACACGAATCAATACAAGTTCATTAGAAATGTATTTTTATGCAACCAAATAGGTGGATCTACAGCGGTAAAATGAATAAAATATCAATTGCGCAAATGCTACTTTTCTTCGGTAGTCGCACTCACTGTTAATAAGGTGATCCGGAAAGTTTAGAGAATACTTGAATTCAAGAAAATGTGTCTTTCACAGATTCTCTACACTGCATAGAACAAGTAAAACGAGTGGTTTTTGTAATCAAAAGCTTTTTGCAGCCATTTAAAAACATCATTGTTTGAAGGAATTCTTTGAAAGCATACTATTTATGTCTCTGTATTCAATAACGGTACAAAATGATATGGTTATAAAGGTAGAATTTGAACACTAGAAGACATGAGAGCATGTATGGACATATGTTGAATACCAAGTGGAACAATGTGCCTATGGAGTAAACTTTACGCGTGTGATAAGGCTACGACAAACTAGAGTGTAGTATGGCGTAAGTGATTACAAAAGACAGGTCAAATATAATAATCACAGCACATTTACGTCGAGAAGGCCCTTTACAGCGTTGAGTGACTGCAACTACTTTTTAAACTACTTTGCACGATAATCAAAAAACCATTGATTTGCAACCAATTTGAGCGTAATGATCGATTTGATAAGGATCGATCAACGTTCAGCAACGTGTTTGTGAATGAGCAGATGAACAGAGGGGAGAGATAGCTAAGATCGAGTGAGTGAAAGTTGCTAGAGAGAGAAGTACAAGGAAAAATAATAAATGCTTATTGTGCAAAAATGAATTCAATAGTGCTGATTCGGCGCATTTTCACTGAGCAGTTTACACACCACAGATAGATGGTTGGAAACGACTATCTCTCTGAAAAAGAAGAAAACAAAGTAACGCTGAAAACGAATTTCCCTTGGACAATTGACATGGACTTGAAGGAAATCAGCGAATTACAAAACATAAAGTCTTATAATATCTTCCAAGTCCGACTATTTATTAATCTTGGCATGATGATGGTAACTCTTTCTTATTGTGCTGAGCTTGCACCAAGATGTTAAAATTTCTTTATTCGGCCAACGTTTCGGCGTTATCGCCTTCGTCAGAGCCTTAGAGAAGCACAAGTTGGAGGTA